AAACTTTAATTTTAGGGGATTATGTTTGACAAGGCACAAAAAAAAAAGCCCCGACAAAGAAGTAGCCAAATCCTCTGCCGTCATCGGTTTTGACTGCGAGCTTAAAATTTGGAGAATTCATTGGCGTCTGGCTTCCATTTACACCAATTCGGAACAGAAGGCGAGCCATCGAAGAATTCATTTTTTTTTTTTTTTTAAATTACACTCCTTGCCTAAACAGTACACGTCCGACTCAGGATGCAAAAGAAGGGAGGGAGTAGTAGGCAGACTTCCCGGCTTTGTTGAACTCAAAGCAGCAGGCTGGGAGGCTCAATTTAGGCAGCACTTCCAAAAAGGGTATTCAAAAAAAAAAAAAAAAAAACATGAATCGGGATGGATGGCAAAGCAGAGTGTCCAATCAATGTGCGCGCAAATGAGCTTGTTGGAACTTTTTTTTATTCTGTTCAGGGAAGAATTGCGGTTCTGTTTGGAAGCTGCTAATTGAAGGAGGGGAGGGCATTGAATCACATGCTTCATTGCTGCACAAGTAAGGCGGGCGGGTGGCCGGGCGGGCGGGCGCGGATCCCTTTGACCTGCGCTTGATGAAAAGAACGTTGGGACTTCGGGCACAGATGAGCCAAGTCATTTGTGAATTTGGAGGGGAAAAAAATCATTTTAACATTGAAATCATTATTTGTGTTATTTATAATGATTGTCGGTAATTCATAATTGTTTTCAAATGTTCGAAAATGTCTTTTTTTTTTTGAAGAAAAAAATCTGGAAATAATACCAATATAATATTCATATTATGAACTATTGCCAAATGTAGATGTTAAAAAAAAAAAATCTTACTGTGTTCACTATAATAAGAAGAATTTTAACCAAGGGACGAAATATCCGGAGAAGTTTTGCTTGTCTCCTTCTTCCGTCATTTAGTCAGTAGTTAACTCTGCTTTTGGTGTTATCTTCGTTTCGTAATGGATGCGCAGAGCTCGCAAAGTCTGTGTGTGTGTTGGCGAATGCGCTTACATTCTGATTGGTTCTTGCTCATACTCACCACTAGATGGCATAGGAGCGCTAACAGGGAAACAACTCAACGGGGACTATAAAGAGACTGCGCCGCCATATATAAGGCGCATCGGATTATACGGTGGTTTGAGTCTCACGTGCGCTCACCTTGTCGCGTTTAAATTGGTTTGGTCTTTTTTAGCGCTTTATAAAATCACCATACTGTCCGCTCGGGGTTGGCGATGACACGTGAGCGTCGGCTGCGTTCCTTAACCTCGCCCGCGCACATCTCCCTTTCGCCACGGTCCACGTGCCGTTCCTCATCAACACGCTGGCTCTCTTCTGAAGCTTTCAAGCCTTCGCCTTCCAATTGGGGTCGTTTTGAAGACAAAAGAAATGCAACATGGCAGCCGCTAATTGGACTATTAAAAACACCGAAAGGGGCCCCGGGTCCCCCATCCTGTCATTGATGAACGTGCTAAATATATCCCGCATTGTTGAAAGCTTCAAAGCTCCCCCCCCCCCCACCCCCTGGGGGGGGGTCTGAGTTGAAGCTTTCAAGCCTTCGCCTTCCAATTGGGGTCGTTTTGAAGACAAAAGAAATGCAACATGGCAGCCGCTAATTGGACTATTAAAAACACCGAAAGGGGCCCCGGGTCCCCCATCCTGTCATTGATGAACGTGCTAAATATATCCCGCATTGTTGAAAGCTTCAAAGCTCCCCCCCGCCCCACCCCATTTCCGTGTGTAGAGGAACCCATTCCACCCCTTGATTTCCCGTCAAAGAAAACCCACAAGGGGAAAGGATTTTTACTCTTTAGTTTAGCATTTTTTAGTCTTTGTCTTTTTGCACCGAGTCCGAAAAACTTGTCTCAACTCTCGACATTTTTATAGCTTAATGTGCAGCAGTCGGTGAAACCCAGGAAATAAATATTATTATTCTTATTATTTAATTTTTTTTTTTTTTTTTTTTTTTTAAGCCCCATCAGCCGCCCGGCCCAAAATGCCCAACA